CAGTTATTTATTATAACTTATTTATTATAACTGTTATTTAATATAACTGTTATTTAATATAACTGTTATTTATTATAACTGTTATTTAATATAACAGTTATTTAATATAAGTTATTTAATATAACTGTTATTTATTATAACTGTTATTATAATTTATTTAATATAACTGTTATTTAATATAACAGTTATTTATTATAACTTATTTATTATAACTGTTATTTAATATAACACTTATTTATTATAACTAATTTATTATAACTGTTATTTATTATAACTGTTATTTATAACTGTTAGTGCAGAAACACTGTGGAGTGCAGCCACATGGAGTGAGCATGTGCAGCGTCACACTGGAGCGTTTCACTCCTCTGTGAGGGGTTCCTCTGAAAATCTCCACTCTGACCTGGATTCAGAACCTTCAGTTTCAGAGAATGAGGCTGTTGTCTGTAAATGAACGAATGCTTCACGTCGTGTAAACGGAGCCTCAGACCAGCTGCCCTGTCTGTCAGTCAAGAGACTAATTTCATAGATGGATGATCGGCTGACATTATTTTTTAACGCCATACCATCTACCCATAACACCTTTGTGATCAACCGGTCGATCACGACTGACGCTGGGCACCCTTGATCTAAAGGCAGTTCACTTCAGGGGCTGCCTTGGAAAACATCTGATCTCAGAACAGCTCCTTTGTCCTCCAACAAAGATATTTTTAATCCTGCCGTTTTTAGTAAAAAAAATTTAGTCCTTTTTTAAGTCCATGTTTTATTCTCTCTAGATGCTTTATATTGTAGCACTTTGAGATTGCAAAATGTAAAGTACAGTATAAATTGAATAAATTATCATTAACGTCGGTCAGCAAACAAGCAAAGGGAATTGAACCTCCTACTGCAGGACAGTCCACATCAGCATTTTGTCCCTCCAGTAGTGTTACATACGACAGAGTGAGAAATGATGGTGTATTCAAAAGGAAATGCTTTAATAAAAGGAATCAAATACAGTGCTTTGGATGGCAGTTAGAATCCATTACAGGCATGGGTTATTGCACAGCTCTAAGGACAAACAAACACTTTCCTGGACGTTATCTCAAAGTTAGAACCAGTGTGACCAGTTTAACATTTCATTTTAGTCATTTAGTTACTTTTAATGCACATCTTTTTAAGACCACTTGTCTGGCGACACATGGACTCGAGCCAAATGTCGCCTCTTTATAAACGTGACTGTTTTTACAAAGAGACGAGACATCTGAGCCTAACTGCTGTCATCAACGATGGCTTCAATCTGGTGAAAAGAAAAAAAAACTACACGCATGTAACAGCAGACGATTCCCTGATGTTTGTGATGCCTTCACTAAGAAAAATATACTGTCACTGGTCTAAAAAGCTGTACATTAAATGCTCCGATAGTCAAAGATACACTAAAGTCAGAAAAATTTCTGTAATGCTTTTTCAGTTAACTTGCTAATTTGCTAAGCAAGTGGAAACACATTCATAAATCTGTGCTTGAATCAAAAGAACTGCCAGAATGGGAGAAAAAAGAAAAAGTGCAAAATTCATGTACATTTATGAAACGCATCCAAGTCGCACAAAGTCAGAAACATGTCTGCAACAGTCGCACACACTTGCACTGAACGGATGAAAATGCAGAGGCAACAGTGAAACTGGACGTTTTCTGGATCAATGTAACATGCTGAGCAAAAGAAAATAATTAGACAAAAATAAATCAACAAAGGGCTGCTTTCCTTTTAGTTTCAGTGCAACTCGTCGCTGGTGGACGTGCAACATCCACCAGATTAAATACATTTTAAATATCTTATATTACTTTGCCTTTTTTTGTGTGTCCCAGCTTCAGTATCACTTCTGGTCAGGTCAGCTCTTCAAGGCAGCCTGGTTTTGTGAGTTGGCATTAAAAAGAAAACATTTAGGAACCGACTCCATTCGGGAGTGGACCCAATCGCAACAGCCCTTTGGTGGTACAACGTGAGCTGTAGCAGACATGGCAACTCATTTAAATAAGCTCTTTAAAAATGGGATCAAATAAATCTGCATAAATTAAACGAGTCAAACCTGCTGCGTGTAAACCAGCGAGCATTAAGGAGGACTCTCAGGTTGTTCATTCATTACGAGGATTGTAAAAACGAGGGGGTTCAGATGTGTGTTGGCACTCTGCACTGTTTTTATAGTTCCAGTATTTATCAGCTGTCAACTCAGAGCATGCACGGTGCAGAAGCTGTTTATTCCCTGCTAAATTATAACAGGGACATGTAACTAATAAAAGCTCATTTCACCCCGTATGCTCGAATAACCTGGAGATGTTTTCTTGCTTTAAAAATTGATTTGATTCTTAATCCTGTTCCTGTGTTTCGTCTGCTGTCACGTAAACAAACGTGTTAAATGACTGAACCCGCAGGTCGTCTTAGAAATAAAGAAACCGGTTTTTCACAAAAATATTCAGATTTGCTCAAAGAAAAATCAGGGCAAATCAGCCAGAATAAAGAGCAACATCATACAACGCATTATAAACAGAATATTTTAAAAATCTTTTCTCTCCTGTCAATTAAGTTTTTTTAAACACTATTTATAAGCAGTAGGATTGCAAAAGCAGCGAGATACAATAATGTTATTTGGCCACAAGTTTGAATCCTATTTTCCCCCTTTCTTTTTTTTAAATTTTACAATATAGTTTAGATGAATAAACTCTAAGAAAATAATCTGTTTCTTGTTTTAGTGCATTGATCCGTGTGTCATGATACAATCCACATGACTGTGCGGCTCTAAGTGTAACCTGGACCCTCGTGAGGGTATTTAGCTATAACTACTGCAAGACATATCGTTCTCAAAAACAGTGATGACATTTTCCTTGAACTAAACAGCTTGAAACGTCACGTGACATACAAAATAAATAAATAAACATGCTTTCTTCACGTTTCATTTGGTTTATACCGATCTCAAAACCGTGGGAAGCTTTAAACATCCTTTCCTCCTTATATTGCCATTTGGTTATTAAAGGGATTGTGCCCTTTTTTTTTTTTTGACTGTGAAAAAAAACTTGATTTGTATATTTCATACAAGTAACATTTTATGCAGATTTTAAAAAGGCATTTCAAGTTAGCATTAGCATTTTCACACGAAGTAACTAAATGTTCTCGTATGCGTGAAGTTTTTTCAAAACGTTGCATTTTTCTCTTCGTGTAGAGAAAAAAGATGGAGATTGAAACGGATGCAACGGAGTCAAAGGTCACGTGGCTCCAGACTGGATGTGAGTGAGAGCGGCTGGATTATTTCATGAACACCTCACCCACAACAGGAAGTTTTTAATTCATTGCTTCTACTGACGTCGTCATACTGGCTCTTAACGTGTGCAAATGGACACAAAATGAAAACGTGAAAAGACAAAAAAAAAAAAAAAAAAGACATTCTAATTTTTTTTTTTTACTTATTTTTGTAATAATTCCCAAAAGGTGAAACAGCTGGATCATCAAGAAAAAGTCTTCAGTTGAAGAAGTTTGCAAGGATGAAAAATGAATAAACAACGTGACTGTTTGGAGTTTTGTCCAGATGTGACCTGGTGTGTCACGTCACACCTGTCAGGAGTCTGTGTGTGTGTGTGTGTGTGTGTGTGTGATGCAACCAGTGTGCTGCCTCAGTCTGGTTCTGGAGCGTCTTCAGTGGGGGCGCAGGGTATCGACTTCTGTTTGTATATGAAGGTCAACAAGAACAGAGCTATGTCATGTGAGCACCAGTAGCTTGTGTGAGAGGTCACCGCCGACCAGTAGCGGCTCTCCACCAGACCCTCGCGAAGCTCGAAGTCGATACGCCTCTCCAGCTCCACTGCAAAATAACACCAAGTTACAATGCAGTCCTGCTGTTAAACGTACGACTATTTATTGTACAGCTGCAACTTACACGACTCAAGAGTGGGAGAAGTGGGCCGAGTCATCAGAGAGAGGCCGTAGGACGACTGGCTTTCTGAGTGCTTCTCCTCCTCTTCCTCAGCACTTGCTCCTCCCTCAAGGCCTAAAGACACTGAAGGCTGGCTGTTTGAGCGGGAAAAACGAGAGAAGAGGATGCCTCCGATCCCTTTTCCTATGCTTGCAGCTCCTGCAGATTAAAAGCATGGAAAGAAATTAAAGTAAGTTACTTTTTGTGTAGGACAAGAAACTAATAATGTGGTTAAATAATTTTATAATGCTTTGAAAACTGAGAAAAGGTTCAAAAACAGCAAGCACTAATTGCCACACGATGGCAGCATTGACTCAATATTGAGGGAAAACCTTTACTGCACGTTTTGTAGCTTGGAGTTATAACAAAGAGCAAGTTCATGCTCTAACAAAGTTACGTCAGGTCCTCTGGATGGATGTGAAGTGCCAGGTTTATGTCAGTGCGTTACCAAGTATGCTGGCCTTGCCCAGGCTGGTGATGGACTCTCCGTAGTGCTTGCGAGGGAGGACAGGAGAAGTGCTGGGGCTGGGAATGCTCTCAGTGTCTGAAGCCGGATCTTTGACTGGATTGAGGAAGGTCGGCCTGATCTCATCGTAGTGGGTGGGGTTAGTGGCACTGCACCTGATGAATGAAATAAATTCATTGTGTTCGGAGGACAAATACTAAGATATTATACTATGTTTACAAGAAAAAAACATGAAGTTCTCACCAGTGTATCTGAACAGGTGCAACATTGTTATAATGTCTGAGGATGAGAGGCTCCAGCCTGTACGCCTAAACATAGAGGAAGTGAAGAAATATCTTCAAGTACGAACAAGATAGTAAACATGCTACATTTTTATCTCACACTTCTGATTAGTTGCATGTTCTACAGAGCTCGCCTCACAGACGTCTCAACAAGAGAAATAAATCCTGCAACAACTGACGACTGCGTGTGACTGACCACGGGGTCTGTGGGGTGGAAGACATTAAAGAGCCGGCTGCAGATAGAAGTGGGCAAGATGTGGTCCTGATGGCAGCTGGCACACGGACGAATCCCTCTCAAGGCCAAGAAAACTGCCAGAGGAGAACCCATGCAGAAGAAGTTTTCAACCTTTGAGACAAAAGGTGCAACGATTAAAGGAAGCGTTTAGTATTCGTGTAGACAATGTTTGCTCAATGCTATAAACTAATGACAGAACTTCTAAGATCGTTTTTTTTTACATTTTCATTAGAAAATAAATCAGAAACAGCACAGCTCGTGGGCGTTCTAGCTATAAATCACCATTATTCAACCATTTGAATACTGTTGCAGTTATTCATATAAAATGTCTCAACATAGAACTTCTCACCTTGAATTTGAGAGCTTGAGGGGCTGACGGTTTAGAGGCTTCCAGTTTGACGAGCTGATTTTCCAGTTCTCTCATTCTGCCAAAACAAAAAACACATCACAGCGCTCTGCACTACAAGTCTAACTTTGTCTCTTGTCTCGATCACCAACGTATAAAATCCCAAAGAGTCACGGATCTGCAGGAACAAACTTCTACCTGATCCTTGTAAGCCTTAGCTCTTCTAAAAGTTGCCTCTCTTCATAAGACACCCAGCGTGTATCCTGCTCCTCCTCCACCGCACACAGCTCCTGCAGGCAGAAGCGCACGGGATCCCATCCTGTTATGATGTCATAGGCGATGACACAGCCAAGGGAGTGGGACACAATGGACACTTTGCCGCCCTTCTCCTCAAACCCAGGGTTCCGTGAACAGAAGAGGGAGTACAGTCTGTTCAGCTCCTCAGTGAGGCCCTTGGTTATCTATGGAAGAAAAGTGAAAACATTTTAGAGATGGGGAGGCTACTAGACGTGTTTTAATAACTTCTACAGTTGCACAAGTCTCACTTCATCCCGGTAAAGCGGACTGTTGTAGTACATGATGTCCATGGCACTGCTGTTGAGAAGGTCTCTTAGTCCTCTCACTTTGTCTGGTGTGATTGAGTCTACCGTATCTAAGAACAAAACAGACTGGATTTTAAAATCCGTTTATTAAACCAATTCCAATTTGTTAAGTAATAACTTCACGGTGTTCTGTTCTCTCAGCATTTTACACAGAACTGAAGCAAACCTCCATCTAGGGTGAGTTTGGAACGCCACTCCACAGGTAGGAACTCCACATGTTCATCGATGTGCTGAGCAAAGTGCTTCTCCTCCATCTTTCTGACTCCCTCCCTCAACCTAAGCAAACAGAATGGGAAAGAAAAAATTACATCACTGCGTAAAAACACTTACCTAGGTGTGTTTGGATTTATTTTGGTAAATTTAGAGACAATAGCGTTATAAAATGATGTGTAAAAATAACTGGTTCTATCTGAATGGGGTTAAATATTGGCTGATACGTCATCACTGCAGACTGACGTCCGGCTGTTTCGATTTCTTTGAGCTAAATGAAATAAATAAAACTAAAGAATGACTCCGTCTCATCTAGTTAACAGCTTCTCTTGTGTGGAACAAACACAATGGCGGACGCTGCTCCCTACCATCAATTGTTCTGTTTGAGATTCACTAAACACACAAAGAGAGGGAGGGTGACCTGGACAAACGTAAACCAAGAGGCTTTTGCAGAAAAGCTCTGAATGAGGAACCTGCTTGATTTCGATAAGACTGCCGTACATCCAAAGCGTCTGCTGGGAAAGTTAAAGGTTTAGTTCCACAGTTTTCTGTGCTGCAGCCACAACATGTTGATGTAAAAACATTACAGACACTCCCAGAACATTTGAGTTCTAAAACATAATGTCCCTGATCACAATTACCTTTTCCTCTGATGATGAAACTAACAGGCCCTTTAATTAATCAATGTTTAAAACAACAGACAAAACAAATATTAAATGAACTATCTGTGTGCATTAATCCACCTGAAGATGTGAGTCAGGTGCTACAGCCTGACTTGGTCTTCTTCACCTACTTTGCTTAGTCAGCTTAAACTGGGTCAGTGTTTAAAAACCAACTTTGGATCTCAGAGCCTCAGCTTGGGCTGAAGTAGTAGCATGAAGGTAAATACTGATAAACTGATCAGATTGTTGCACCATTAAGCACGCTGCGATCTATCAGAGAAAAGATAAAGCCATAATCATTTACTTTAACCAGATATCTGAGTAAATACATAAAACCTTTGATTGAAAAACAAAAAAAAACTCAATAGGTCGACTGGAGAGGCATTGTAGCGGAGTCATAAGTATACTTTGGAATCATAGTCTCATTTAAAAACAGGGTGAGGAGGACATTTACTGTATCCTACAGGCCTTGTTGCTAAGCAGTTTTTGGACAAGACACTGAACAAATGTCAAAGAGCAACAATGAAAATGAGTAGACGGCTGCCTCCCAAACAAAAATAGTCAATAGTCTCCAACATTCTGCTGTCATTAGCACCTCTTTAAATGTGAATTCCAATAATTAGCTACTGTGGTGATGGTTATGATGCCAAATAAAAATTCTTTATGGAAAAACAATGACCTGCCAAACAAGTAGATGCTGATCAGAAACGCATTTAACAAGTTCAGTCAAGAAACCAGTAAAAATACAATAAAGGAAACAATCTACAGTAGTCCCTCGCTACTTCGCGGTTCATTTATCGGACTCGCTCTATCACGGCTTTTCAAAACACGATTGGACATGACACACAATCGGCTGATTGATGGATGAGCCGCACGATCGGCATGGGATTTTTATTTAAAATAAATTATTTTAAATTATTTAGCATGTGCTGCCCAGCCCTTACCGCTGCAGGATAAACTTCCTGCTGCAGCTGATCAGCTGTTCACCATGCAGAGTGGAGAAGTGGGCGTGGCCAAGAGCGCTTGCAGGTGGCAAAGAGCAGAAGAGGCAGGAAACTGAAATCATGACATTCTATGTCTTTTAGAGCGTTTAGAAACATTGTTTAGGATGTTGCAAGAGTGTGGGAAGGGTTTA